AATTTGCATTTCCTGGTGCCTTTATCCCAGGATTTGCATTTCCTGGTGCCTTTATCCCAGGATTTGCATTTCCTGGTGCCTTTACCCCAGGATTTGCATTTCCTGGTGCCTTTATCCCAGGATTTGCATTTCCTGGTGCCTTTATCCCAGGATTTGTGTTCCCGTGCCCGGCGCGTGCCAGCCCACTTCTGAACTGTTTCGTTCTTTCTCCCCACCCCCGGTGAGCACTGCAGCAATTTGATGAACTCGGGGGAAATAAATTTGGCAGAAAATCAGCGGGAGTAGATTTAATTATCGCTCCGAGACCTTTCCCTTTTCTGGCTTAGCGATCCCGAAGCTCCGCGCCTTTCCCCGGAATCCGCGCCGAGCTCCGCTTCCCAATTTGTCCCTCCGTGCCGTGATAAGCCAAGCAATTACTGCTTTATTGATTTTTCATCAGGGCAAATTTAAAGTTGATTTTTTCTCCCTGCAAAGGCAGGGGTGATTAAGTGTTTCCCGTCGGTTTAGTCCCGGAGAGCTCCGTGGCAGAATCCAATATCCTGAGGTCAACCTCTGCAGGGAGATAATTCGGTGTCTCGGCCACGTGTGAGGGAGAGGAATCAGGGCTACAAATGTGAGGGGATATCTGTGGAGACAGTTTAATTTGTTCCATTTATATGAACAAGTCGTGTGGCACATGCTTGGAAAATATCATTTTGAATGGGCTTGGAAATGAGGCCCACGTGGGCAGGGGGAGGGAGGGATGCAAACGAGAGCGGGAATGTGGCTGGGAGACAGCTGGAGAATAAACGGGGAATAAACCCATCCCTGAGGGTCCTTCCTGGCTTCTACTGAGCTCTCTGTGCTGCTGGGGTGATTTTTCTTCACCAAAAGTTAAATCCTTCAAGTCTTCAGGTCCCTCCGACCCAAGCCACCCCGTGGTGCCGTGATTCCGTGATTTTGACTGATGGGGGGGGTCACAAAAGCAAAAAACCTGGAGGACTCAGCTTTTAGAAAATCCCTTAAGTATAAACTCTGTAAACCCAAATGAAAAGTTTTATTTTTTAATATTCATCTTTCACCTGCTGGCCAGGAGCTCTCACATGAAGAATCTCATCCAGAATATCCTGAGCTGGAAGAGACCCACAGGGATGGTGTGTCCAACCCTGCCCAGGACACCCCAACCCACTGATTTCCCTTCCCACTTCCTTAGGAGGGAGTTAAAAGCCTTTCCCTGGGTGTGATGGATATTAAACCACGCCAGGAGAAGATTTGCTGGGGTGAGGTCAGTCTGTAATAAGTTAAAGTGCTTCACTCAAGCCTCCATTGGGATGCCCTGAAGTTCATCACTTACTGCCTGAGCTCCTCGTTGATCTTCAGTAAATTATCCTGAACTTCATTGTGGTGGCAAAGACCAAACTCAATCTGTTTAACCCCCAAATTATTGAATACGGGTAATGCATTTCAATGAAGGGATGGATTGTTTTTCCCTGGAATTTCCAATATTCCTGGGTTTTGCCTGGCTAATGGCAGGTTTGGAGCCCCGCCCTGGGTGTCCCTGGTGTGCCAGTGTCACTTCATTAGGCTGCCACCAACACCTGGTGCTGTGCTGCTGCTCCCAGGAGGCAGCTCCAGCATCTGGCACACACTCTGATCTTCTTTTATCTCTGTTTAATCTTCACGGTGCTGGGTTGGGATTGAAAGGGGGCAGGAGCAAATCAAGGGGAAAATAAAAAATGCCAGGTTTTGGTGCAGCGGCAGAGTGGGGCTTGTTAGGAAGAGCAGCCACGTGAGGATAATGATGAGAGATGGGAAAGGCAAGGGGAATTTGGGGTCTTGGCCACTCTGTGTGTCCAGAGCTGAGGGAGAGAGAATTGGAAAGGGAATTGGAAAGGGAATCGATGGCCCCCAATGGATAATGGCTGCTGGAGGAATCAATTCCTGGCTTTTTATTAAAGCTGCTGTAATTAATGATCACTTCTGAATGTC